TTTAAAAGTTTAAAATAAATTCCATTTGAACAAAATATCCGATACTAATTATTAAAAAATAATTTATATATATACGATATATTTCTTATTTTCCATTTTATAATTTAATTAAAATGTAAAAAAAAAGTATAAAATAAATGTTTAAATATTATAGTTTATATAAATTTTTATATTATTTTACTTTTAATTAATTATTAGTTTTTTTAATTAATTATAGTTTTTAATTATATAATTCTATCTTTTTTGAATTTAACTTAATATAAAATATGGAAATTACTTAGAGAATTATAATAGATTAAAATTATTACTAAATTTATAATATGTATATATGTGTATGTATATGTATGTGCACGCGCGCGTAGAAATATAAAAAAAATTATTTTTTATTTTATTTTTTTTTTTTTTAATAAAAATATAATCCTACTTACTTTTCAACATATCCAAGTCGTCCTTAATCACCAGAAAAGTTTTCTCAGATAAAAATTCCATCGGGTTTTTTTTCCATTTCATGATTTTGGTTGACTCCGTGATTTATCACTTTGAATTTATAGACAATGTTACAAACAACTAAAAATATTTATTTTATACTATTTTAATAACACTGACATAAAAACGATTTTATATTTCAAAATATAAATTGATATTTAAAATTTCATAATAAATTTTTTAACAAATATATCGTTTAAAATGAATAAAATATGTGATTGATTATAACAAGACACACCTAAATTTCATTATTCTTTCAATCGATTATTAAAAATTTCTGATACTCCGACATTTATGATACCGTGATTATAAATGAATTTTCCTTCAACTTTTAAATTGTACTTCTTCACTGTCAGTTCACTGAATTTAGCTTTCAACAATATATTCATGATGTCACTTAAATTATTTCGTAATTTTTTTCGATCTCCATAAGAAAATTTAATTATAATTCCAATGAAGTATGTATGGAATATTTATCTATATAAATATCACAACTAGATCACAATATTTTAAATACAGTCACAATGCTCACACTTATACATATGTTTTCTGAATGATCGATAAGATCACAACCAATAAATACATAAATGTGATAATTATCATAAATATAATATTATACACGAAAAAGTTACGAATATCTAAAATAAGACACAAATACACATACACTTTCTTTTTTAAACATGATACAATACATATAGATGCAACATAAACATTTTTTAAGTAATTGACAAAAATGCACCTCTATATTGACCGGTTAATGGAGATCATTGAAACAGCTCTTGTTTTGTTTTCTTTCATCGACAAACTTCATTGTATCGATTTGAATCATTTTGTGAAAAAAATAAGATTTTAGACGCGTAGTTCTTTGTCAACGAAAGAACAGCTTATACTAAGCTTCGGTTTACCTTGCCATTGGCTATAGCTTTTTATCTTTTGCATTGTGGTTAACTGTGTGAGAATACAGGTGGCTACGAAAATCGATCCAACAACTATACCGTTTCATTTACATACATTCTCATTGTCATACAAAAAATTATTACGATATTAATATTTTAAATGAGATTATATCAAAAATTATTTAAAAAAATACATGAAAAAATATTTTAAAAATTTTAATATGATACATTTTATATATAATTTATATTCATAATTTTAATTAACATTAAATTAATTATTAAACTGTGAAACATTTATAATGAAATATTACTTATATAATTATTTAAAAACATATGGATAAATTTCATATAGAAAGTAAACTTTCATACATTTGTACATAAAATTGTGTTATACTATTCACATTCATTAAAAATTAATAAAGATTAATATAATAATAATTAATAAAAATTAATATAATAATAAAAATTAAATATTTTCTATTTACAATAAATATACATAATATATTATCGCCGATATCGATAACGCTTAAAATGAAACCACAATTGGAAAATATTATTATGGAATTGACATCTAAAACCACGCTTATATGAATATTCCCATTCTCTATTAACAATTTTAAATGCGATATCTTCATATGGTGGGCCTGCATGAAACCGTAAAATAGCGAAGTCTTTATTATCTGCGCAAGGTGTCTAAAAATTAAAATATTTTTATTAATTAATCGTTTAAATTATTAATTACAAAATAAAATTAATCTAAACAATATCTTACCAAAAAATATTCAGGAGTTGTATTTTTATCTATTAAATCTGGATAAAATATATTAAATTTGTAACCTTGAACGATTTTCGGAGGTGGATTATCCATATCATAATGAGTTTGATTATATTTATTCCATTCAAAACCAGTATGAACTCGATTGAAATATCTTGGCTTTCTGGGTCTATATTTGTCAGACCAAAGATAAATCTGTGCTTCTAATGATGATTCAACACTAAATTGTGCTTCATCAGAATTCATATTTTTACGTGCTTCTCTATGCATTGCTTGTTCTTCTGCAGTCATAACATTTTGAATCTTTCGACCTGTACTGAGCACTTGATTTCTTGCATATTCCAATCGTTGATTATCATCCTCTTCCAAAGTAACTAATGTTCCTGGCTCAAGTTGAGAATATGGTATATATTTTGGAGAATAGCCTCCTGATTCATATTCACAAAATGATTCTGATAAAAGATCTTCTGCTGCATTATTAGCTTCTTGATCATCACTACAAAAAAATATTTTTATATATTTTATAAAATTATATATATAAATAAAGAAAAAATACATACTCTGATTGACTTTCTTCACTTTTTTCTACAGTTGTAGTGGTAGCTGGTTCTTCTTGTTTTTCTGATTGCTCACTAATTGCTTGTAAATTCTCAGTTTCATTTTCCGTTCTAGCTACACCTTGTTCAGCAATTAAAACTTCTAATTTTTTACGTAAATTTTCTTGATGTCGATCTCTTAATCGTGCTCTCGCCATATGCGCTGAGAATAATATGTAAGTTAATGTAAGTACATGTAAATTAAATACATGTAATT